ACTGCTTGGGAAAGTAAGAGAGACCACCCAACCGAGTCTTAGCAAAGACTAGGATGCACAAAAGGATTAATGCTTCCCACCATAAAGCTTAAATTATCTTAGCCATGACCTTGTGGAAGCATCTTCTATGTGGTACCCCCAGGGACTGCACCAAAGTCACCTCAGTCTTGCCAGACCCTTTCCACTGCTATTCCCATCTCCTTGCAGCCCACTCAGGTGTACAATGCCCACTCTCCTCCAAAGTCAAGCGTTCAGATCCTCCAGTACCTGCCTACCTTTCAGTTCCATTCTGGACCTTTCTTGTCATATGAAGTGGATTTTTAAAATGCATATTTAACTTCATAGGATTTATATGCCACTGAGGAGAAACCGACAACCTCCTCCCAAATGTAAGACAGAAGAAATAAAATCCTGTCCTTGACTTAACCTTTTAAATGCACTGTCTCAGCGAGGATGGAATTCATTCAGTAAGGGTTCATTGTAGCTTTATTTTTAAATCACGGGTGATCACTATTTGACCCACAAGTCAATTATAGCCTCCCAAACTGTACAGTGATGTGGCATAGCCTGGTGACCCTTTTAGCATTCAGAGAACCGCCAGTGATTCTCTTTAAAGATCCAAATGCACAACACTCAACTCAGTCCATTTGCTTTGCTCTGCAGCTTTCCTGGGCTGTCCCTCTTTGTGCAAAGACGACTTTTAATTTGTTGCATTATTACCTTATTATCAGCATGCTCATGAGCAAAGAATTGGATTAAGTTCCAGCTAGGAGCCATGAAATACAGGAGAGCCTGCTCCACAGCACCTCTGTCCCAGGCTCCAGCAAGAGTTCCCACAAGAGGTGCTGTATGCCCCACAGGAGCATACATGGGGTTAACATTCTTGAATTCCTGCCCAGAGACAAATGGTTTGTGTTGAGGAACTGCTGCTGGGAAGGAAGGAGGAAAAAAAAAAAAAAAAGCCCCTTTTTTATTATTCCGAGGTGCATTTTAATTTGCACAAGCGACATTGTGTCTGTGATGGATTACACGAAGGGAAACATTACAGCCCAGCAAGCTCGGCACGGAAAAAAAAAAAAAAAATAAGGGAGATATGGGGAGGATTAAAAACAACCTATTGCAATGCAGAATTCTGATAAGGGGTCCATGGTGCCTTTGGAGTGGGAGCAGGTGGAGTTCAGAGCGCTGGGAAAGAGAAGGACCATGGTCTAGGGTAAGGGCAGAAGGAGATGGCTTAAGGACACCCACTGGAACGGACTCCTTGGTCATACAGTCCAGCTCTTCCTGCTAGCAGCACCATCTCAGTAGCCTTTCCATAAATGATTAGGCTCCATATTAAAATTCATTCTGTTTCTTTCCCATTGGAAGGATGTTCCAAAATTTCACTTCTCTGATGGTTAGAAACCTTCCTATAATTTTGAGACTAATGTATTCTCAGCCAATTTATACCCATTTGTTCTTGTGCCAACATTGTCTTTAAGCTTAAATAGCTGCTCTCCCTCCTGAGAATTTTGTGACTTGATGTATATATAGACAGAAATCTTATCCCCTCTCTTCATTTTGCCTGACAGAACTAGTCAACCTCTTAATATCTTCTAACAGAGATTCTCCATATCTCCCAGTACCTTTCTCTGCTTGGTTCCATTTCACACCCATCTTTTAGGGATACTTGTGATGAGAACTGCACATGGTATTTCAGGCTCTTGGGCAATTGCTCAGAAGTTCCTCTTGTCTACTGGAAGCATGTCTATGCTGAAAGCACCTCCCAGCTCTGGGCCAACAAAATGTTTCAGCAGTAGGACCCTCATATTTTTGTCAAGCTGATTAATGGTCAAGGCAAGGTCAGTCCTGAGAAAAGTTTCCTTTCAGCGTTAATACTTCCAGTTTCAGCACTAGCTGATGCTCTCCCAATCACCATGCAGCACCTTACCAAATGATTTTCTGAAGTCAGGACAAGAAAGGTCTACTGCATTTCCTTTGACTCAAAACCCAGTTATTTTATGAAAGCCACTTATCGCACTGTTTTGCTTTTCCCATTTTCTATTTTGCTCCTGTGCAGCTCCTTCTCCTTTAAGGTACAAAACTCCTACTGTACAAGCTAGAGGAAAATCTGTGTTGCCTGCTAATAGTGCACAGTGTCACACAGTTAGGCAATTCTGTCCACTTGCTTGGGGAGGAGCAATGATGATAGGCAGTGGTCCATTTATTACTATTTTTTATTTTCTCTGGGTTTCAGCAGCATAACCTTTTCTTTTTTTAATGCAACCTCTTTTTGTTTTAAACTTAAAAACAAACAAACAAAAAAACCCAAACACATTTCTCCAGAGACACTAGTGTCTGAAATTAAAGACAATAGATTTCCAGCATTCATGGAGGCATTTAATAACAATAAAAATGCAGCTTTGTGGGTGGTTTAAGAAATGACCTAACACAGCAGGAGCTATGCAAAAAAGAAAGCTGAATTAGGTAGCTTGTTGGCAAACCAGAGCAAAACATTTTTGTACTGTGAATCAGAGAGAGTATTTGAAGTGACCGCAATAAAGATTTATGTGTTAATTTATATGATGCGTCTTACTATAAAAACCCAGGCACGTCCATAAAACAGAATGAAAAAACTCCGCCCAGAACGTCCTCATTAATAAGCACATAAATAAAAAGTGTCTGGCTACTCCAAAACTCAGCTCAGCTCCAGTTCAGAGCAGGACTGAGCACCTGGACGCAAGAGAAATTTCTCAGGAAGCTACAAAGGTTCAAGGTCTTTCCTAAGCAGGAGTTGAAAAGCCTATTGCTACAAATCCTGTAGGCTTTTCCTGGGGAAAGACATGAGCCCTGCAAACCCCTAAGGCTGGTAGCTCTGGTGGGCCAAATGGTGAGTTTCTGTCTAAAATATGGGCTACCAGTACATGCAGATGTATGTACATATTAAAATGCAAACATATCCATTTGGTATTCCTGTGCTTTCATAAATAAAATGGTGGCTGAAATAGGAAGCTGTTGAGTACCTGAAGCTTAGTGCTTGCAGCCTTGATGTGCTTTGTTTAAGGCTGACATTAACTGCCTTGAAAACAAACTCATGCAGATCTCAGAGTCAGGCCATAGACTCATGCTGTATTTTGAGTCCTTGTAGGTCGTTAACAAGAAACGCACTACAGCTTAAATACTAATAGCTGGGGTACAATACATCTACTCCCCTGCTTCTCACCACGTCTTCTGGGTTGTCTCAGTGGGGACCTGCTCAGTTGGTAAAGGATGAACAAAATCCTCCATCCTCCTTTATGACTGTGTCACCTCAAAAACTCTACAACGCAGATCACAAATGTTTCTTTGCAACTTCAAAGGCAGCAAGGTCAACACTACGGATCTGCTAAGAAGTTACCATATGCAAAGACACTCTTCATAAGGTATTATCCATCTTTTCCCATTATCCAGAGTATCCCAGCCCTCTCTATTAATGGAAACTTAACTGTGGTGAGTTTTCAGAGCAAAGCCAAACTCTGCCACTCTAAGACTGCAGAAAGGTTCATTTTAAGCTTGTACATATCATGCCACAAAAGCAAGAAATCCCGCAGTCACTTCCAGAAAACACTACCTGAAAACTCAACTCCAAAACTTCTGTGCCTTACTGAAACTCTGGCTAAGCTCTCTACAATCACACATTTGCGGCATGCTTGAAGCAACTGGGCATACTACCTCTAACACACATAACTCCACACTTTATTCTCTGTCAGAGCAAAATGTTTGTTGTATGTTTATTAAAATAAAATTATCAAAGAATATTAAGATACACTCGGTGTTATTTGGAAAAAAACAATGTTAGCTAACTAGGAATCAACAAATAGGAACTGGGATGAAGAGAGAGTGAATGAGTTGGACCAGTCATTCAAACAGAATGATTTAGATGGCTCAAGTTCTTTTCCTTTACGTTAATGTTAATGTCAATGAAAAACAACAAAACTAAGGTACCAGGGTCTCTTTCAAGGCAGGGCTTCTGAAATGTATGTATTTCCTTCTTGCCTAGTGCATCCCAAATCCTACCAGCTCCTCTACTTCCAGCCAAGGTTCACGCAAGCAAGCAGCACAGCCTAATTGGTTTTTGATGTGATGGACATATGAGGGGATTGGTTAAAGAGCTCTGTGATAACCTTCCCTGCTGAGATTTGTTTTCAAGACACACAGTGGATATGGCAGGAAACATTAGTACAGCTTAGAGATCTCTCGATAGGAGAAGGGTCCTTTCTCACAGTGATAGCATCATAAACACCCAGTCACCTAAGCAAGGCCAACGTTCCCTCTACAGAATGAACAGGGAGTTCTCAGCCCCGCTGCTGGGGCACAAATATGCAGCTCCCAGCTGGGGTCAGAGACAAATCTGCTCTCCTAACTCCTGAACAAAGTGCTCTGCTGCCTAGGCTGATGGTACTGAGAACCTGCAGCAGAGGAGCACTGACGGCCACCACTGCTGCCATGGCTGCTCTGCAGAGAAAGAGGGGGGTATTTCCCCCCAAAATTCCCACCCAAACCCACTGTCTGAAACTCTCAGACTTGCTCTTACTTTGAGCTAGTAGATATGATATTGTTTCAAGGTGCAGAATGGCAGGTTGGTGTGATATTCAGAATTGGGGAGTATCCAAGAGAATGAGGGATCTTCCCTTTTCTCTCCCCTATGTGGGCCCTACCAATGTGGTTAATGGGCAGCTATTTAAGAGATTCAGATGAGGTCAGGTGGGGTGGGAGGTGGTCCAGGCAAGTGCAGACGTCTCTGCTTTGCAGTCTAATGCAACTCCGCCAAGTCTCAGACTGTGAAATATAACCATCTGTCTTTGCTTGAACACAGAGCCTGCGTGTTTGCTTACAGACCTTATATTAAATCAGTGTTAGCCTGAAAAACAAAAAAACCCAAGCTGCAGCAGAGAAAGAGTGACTTCTAGCACCCAAATCGTGAAAATACCACAAAAGGCCCTTGCAAAAGTTCTTTCCCTTTCAAATTTCACGGGCCTGCCTGGAAACACTGGAACCGTCAAAGCATCCAGAGAAGTAAGCTATAAAAAGCAATAAAAGGCAATTTAAGGTCACTACCTCTTTATCCAGACGAGGCTGCTGATAAATAGTAGGGATTTCCAGGGAAAACTTTTAACGTTAAATCATTCCCATTGCATTTTTCAACAATAAAAGAGCAGAGCAAGGTAGTGGATCTATCATTTCCGTGTTTGGTATATGCCAGGTCCTCAGCTGGAGCCAGCTGGAAGATTAATCTACTATATAGCCACCGTTTTAAAAATGATGTTCAAAACTATTGGTCAAGTTCCCAAGGTTCTTACCTAAAAGTGACAGTCAGTTGGAGCGTCAGATGTTTATGTACTGCCCATGCACTGGGGATAGAGTGAAACTCAGGTACCCTGCAAGTCATGAAACAGGTTATGGGCTGATTCCATGTTTAATGGACAACTTTGCTACAGTTCAGTCAAATCCTTTATAATATTAAAAATAAGAATGAGAGCTTACAGTTACTGAAGAAGTTGCAAGTCAGACAAAGCTTTAGAGATTACTAAAATTTATCTGGGAAAAATCCCAGTCAGGGAACAATCAGTTTAGTTCACTCTCTCAGGTCCCACTGCAATGTCAAACCTTTGCTGGACACCAGTAAACATGGTATTCTTCCTTCTAGCACAGATCACTCTCTCTTTGGCAAAAACAGATTTATAAACAGCAGTATCAAAAACTTCATTCTCTCCTTCATGCTTTTAATGGAAATAAAGTGTCACGAAAATAGAACACTTCATCCTGACAAGCCTTAACCTTGGGTCAGAGTATTTCCCAACATGTCAAATGCATGGTTTGGAACAATTCTTTTTTTGCTCTATTTCCATGTTCGGAGCCATTAGTAGAAGAAGTGCCTTATATTTTTTCCATGGGAAAAAGAAGTTAGATATATAGCATAACCAGATACTGCCTTTTGATCTACAGGAAGAAGCTGTAGGATGAACCCAAAATTCCAGCATCTCCAAGTAACTCTCCTGTATGGATTACCCAGCCCAAAGCACACTGAGCTCAAAGTACTACAGGTCTTCAGGATGAAGTGGAACAGTATTACTGATTAAACAGTTACCTAGCAGCTCCCAGTCACCATTTTTTGCCTGACAGGAGAGAGCATGTACATATGGACTATATGAGATGAGAATGGCTTATGTCATGCTCAGTTAGCTCTTCTAGCTATTCCTTTATTAAAATACACCTGTAATCCTCCTTAGTCACAAAATAACACTAAGGATAAAGAAGGGAAATAGGAGTAAAGAGGGAAAGTAGAAACACAGATTTCCCCTCTTTATTACCCCATAGAGAAAGAAGGATCAACAGGCGGATAACCATGAATTGAAATTTTCCTTTCGCCGCCCTTCTTTTGCTGTACTGTTATTTCCAAAAGGTGAACTTTAATTAATTTCTGTTTTCTTTTACTGTGCTTGCTTAAAGGCTACTGCTCCTCTGATGGAGATGGCAATACCTACTGCACTGCATGCCAGCATTTTCCCTGCTTATGGGTTCTGGCACCATCCAATCCCTCCAAGTGATTTATCACCCGGTAATCCATCTCTTCCATCCATTATCTAGCTCAAAAATCAGCTCCGGACAGCCACTTTCTCTGCCTCGTAGCAGGAAGAGCTGTCACTTGCCTATCCTGTTCTCTGCAGGGCAATGGAATTTCATTTCTGCAAATCCCAGTAAGTCTCCTGGCAAGTTAGTTGAATGTTTAAAGGCGGAATTAGCAGCTCTTTGCACATTAGGCTAAACTGATGATTCTGCATAAACCTTTTTCCTTGGTTGGGATGGCTTTTCCAAGTGAGGGTTTGCTAGCACTTAGAAGTTTCATGCAAGAGAGCCTTCACAAATCCTTTTGATTTCCCTCAGACTATTGAAGTATCAATCAATGAACCCTTCAAATACTATTTTACTTAAATCAGTTATGTTGCCTCCTGGCTGAACTGATGCACACGGCATACAGTGACTTCAAATGCTCCAAGTGTATAATTTGCTTGTGCAAATATTCAGTAAGGAATAGTTTATTCCTTAATACATGTATGCTATAAGCAAAACAATGTAAAAATATATTCTAGTTCTTTGACATTTTAAATCTGTTCCTAGGATTATGTATGTAACCCATATGCAGACCCATCCAGCACCTATTTAATACACCACATGTGTGGTATATTAAAATTCCATATATAAGCAACATCAAAGTTTTCTATACTAGAAAGGTGCATTAAGGCTAGATCAGCTCCTCCATATTGTATATATGACAGAGGCAGTGCAAATATTAGCACTGGAGCACTTTCTTCAGAAAAGTAGCACACTGTGACTGAAATTACAATTCTTCTGCCTTCAGATGTACAGCTCACCAAAAAATGCAAAGAAAAAAAATACAATGCACAATAAAGAAAAAAACACCTTTTTTTTTTTTTTTTTTTGAAAAATTCAACAGAAAGCAACCTGTCCATTCAAGAAATTGTCTTTCACCTTTGATGCTGCTGCTCTGGACCTAGAATCTGTCTTGTGCTTAAGGAGAGGACCCACAAATCCAAAGAGAGTTCCAGTTGGGGAGTAATTAATTTCTATTCCACTCCATCAACCCAGGCAACCTCATGAGGGGAGGTGCATGAAACACTACTCTTTTTTTTTTTTTTTTTTTAATTTAAAGACGAGGAGAAAAAAAAAGGAAGAAAAGACACACAAAAAAAAATAGGGAGGGGAGGAGCAGGGATAGGGGGAGCAGAGAAGGAAGAAGGCAAAAGCATTTGTAAAATTAAAAGGCAGGGCCCCATCAGATTGTGTCGGGCAGGGGAAAGCGTGTCGTAGGCAGGAGTAATTGGTAATCGGAGCAGAAGTGAGGAAGGGGATGATTTATGGGAGCATGGAGACAGGGGTGGAATAATTTTTGGAGCAGAACGGGGAACTTACTGAACGCCTGAAACTCAGCTACTTATCCACTCGTTCTCGTGATAAATTAGCTCTTGTTTAAAGTAACCGGAGCTCCATTTTTCATTCTGATTACTACACTTGATATCTCTCTCTCTCCCTCTGTTTCTCTCTGACCACTGCCCCTTAGCAGGTTCTCTGAGCTGAAGCAATGGGTTTATGGAAACTCTTCACCCCTCCATTACGCTGCCCCGCTTCCACCCCATCCAATTACTGTGGGATTAACTCTTTAAGTTGCCATGCATCTCTCCAAGCTGCTTAAACCCCTTCTCAAGGCTGGCCTGGGACATACCAAACATGAACCTCCATTTATACTATGGGGATAAGATGAGGCATGTACAGCAGGTGCTTGTGTGGATATGAACAGCCACAGATGTACACCACAGTTTCCAGTATTTGTGTTTTTGGTTTTTATGTTTGGAAAGTAGCAACATGTCTGGCCTAGCAGGCATTGGGTTATTACTAGGAATGATTTACTTTGCGGTACCACCTAAAGCTGCCCATCCACCTCATGCAGAAGGTCTCACTGTTCTGCCCAAATCCATATGAAGACTCAGGCAAGATACCACAGGTAAAACTGAAACAAGTGGAGAAAGCAGGAGCATGGACTCAATGCAAGTAAGGCTAGATGATTTAAAGACAAAGTCATTTCAAAACACACTTCTAAAGAATAAATTGTAAGATGTCAATAAATACTAATAAATATCAAGTCTCCTACTGGCATCAGAACCAGGTACTTTCCTAAAAGTATCACAACACAATGATCGCAAGAAGAGATTTAAAGTAGGAAGTGACTCTGCAAATTAGCTCAAGACAGACATGAGAAAAAGCATAAAGGGTAGCACAGGAGACAGCTACTAGGTTTGTTACTTACCCCTATACGAAGGGCAAATCGTTGAGTATACCAGGCAATCAGGTACAAGAATGGGCGAGTCAGTTTGCTGTTGCTATCAGTCTAGAATTGATATACAAAGAACAAAGGAGGGTATTCCCTGAAATTAAAAGGTGAAAAAGGAATTTCTCCACAGCACAAATAATTATAGCTGCTGCAGCCTTTCACCTCAGCCACCATCAGTACCAGAAGGCTGGCACAACTGAAAATGATCATAGTTCATGTAAGGACATCAGTATCTAGACCCAAAATTGGGAACCTTAAAAAATGTGTGAGTGTGAGCATGGGCGCGGATTACAGCCAAGCCCCTGCACCAGAAGGCAGCTCTTGCCTACAGTGGCTCAGCAAACGTAATGCCACAGCCCAGCTGTTTTGTAACTGCCCCCTGCCCTTGCACCCTTGCAACTCATTTTGTGTCACTCACTGCAAATGACAAGATACAAGGTCAGGAAAGGACCCCTGATCTGACCCACTGCACTGACCCCTTGCACTCCATGGACATATTATCACATGTGAAAGGAGACATCAGCTAAGCTGCACATTCAGATCCAGTCCTGTGAAGAAGCCACATTCTGATGACTGTTGATGTCTGTCTGGACAGATGCTACTGGATATTGTGTCAAGAATCTCTTTCTCAGCCACCCGTCATGCAACCTGGAATATTCCAAGCCAGAAGCAGACAGTCTTTATCAGGAACCATTTAAAACTGGATTTAGAACACGTTTTTAACCTGCAGGAGATTTTGACCTCATAAGAGTTATGAGTCTATTTGTGCCTAGAGGCACTTTCCCCCACTGCCTCCTGCTCTTGTGCCCATACACCTTCCTCTATCCATGTTGGAAATCTTTATCTGTCCAACATTCTTCTACCCACATGTGGCAACTCTGCCCTGCAATACTTACTGCTCTGCCAGTTCAAGCAGCTCATCCAAGGTACAGTTCTATAAAATCACATTGAGCTAGATGTAGAAGTGATCTAATTCTAATAAAGTCAGCATAAACAAAACTCAGTTTCTGTAGCCCACAGGTAGTGTAACCACACATTATCATCTTTATGTCAGGAAAAGACATGTATTATGGATAGATACTTTTCAAAATGAGAAAATGCAACTCAACCCAATGTATTTATGGTACTGTCTCTCAGTACAGTCTTTTCAACAACTCGGCTTTCAATATCTCTTCTGTAAACACAATCCACGTGGAGGTTCATGGAGAAGAATCCCATTCCCCTGTTAATCACACTACTGCAAAGCAGAAGAGCTACAGAACCGCATGTGCTACATGAACACTCAACTGCATTAAACTCTTGGACTCTACATCAGTGTGAGGAGGCATTCTTTGAATAACTGAATACAGCTTGACATATGTTTATAGAAATAAGCAGGTGGACAAGTTGCCTGCAGTCATAGCCATTCCAAGAGGCCAGCCCTCAGAACCCAAACTTACACATTCATAGCCTGATGTACAAAAACAAAAGTCACCTGAAAGATATTTTGGAAGATAACTGGGGCCACCAGGTGTTAGCAACAC